CATGCTTGTAAATAGCCAACTGGTTTGCCTCCTTGCCAGTTGGGATTCTCAAAATACTTTATGTTTCTATTTTTTTATTTTAATTTTTCATTCTTGTAAGAGCATTGACACTTTGTAGAATGCTCCTAAATTAAGTATTATTGTTATTAATCTCAACTCTGACATGTACATACATACATATACATCTGTAAACTTTTCTAGTGGATAGACAAATTCAGTTAATTGATTTTGTACTGAATTTGTCTACCAACTTGAAATAAAGTTTGCATATACATTGACTTACCTCTTTCCTGAAAAATCATTGTCCACAAAACGAGTTCTATCACTACCAAAAGCCATAGACTGGTCTTGTAAGTCACATTCTCCACCTTGGTCACAGATTGGGCAGTCCAATGGGTGATTCATCAGGAGGAATTCCATGACACCCTCTCTGTATTAAAATGAGTGATACATGGATAAATAAAATAAATACACTTTCTTGACATTCATTAATTGAAAGCAGTAGGAAGGTAGGAGCTTTAGCCACCCACCAAGCTCTCTGAAGCAATCACGGTAATGCTTCTTGGAGCATTTACACTCTTCTGCCTCCCAAGTTGTCAAATACCCAAGTTGTTTGAGGACAAGGATTTAGTGAGAATCACTTATTAAAGTACTATCAAAAATTAAAAAGCAGTATGATTCATGCAAAAATAACTACACATAATTTAAATATTTATATCAGTGAAACACTCAAAATAATATTACAAATAAATGTATTTGTTAAGAGAAAAATGTGACTGTATATTAATTGATGTGCTTTTGGGATCCCTGTGGAACTGTACMACAGGTAGCCCACACCAACATAGCTCCAACAGATGAGTTGATTATTTATATTAGTTTCATTCTTTACCTTGCCTTCCTGGTCACTGGAGAATCTGTTTTGATCTTCATTCCTTTCATGACAGGCATAGCACATGAAGCAATAGGCTATAGCAGGGCAAGAAAGATAAATTTGTATGTTTAAAAGCAGGTAAAATATAAGGTATCACATTATGACATTATGATATAACATTATCAAGTATGATTTACAGTACCTTTGGTGATCTTTCAACTTCAACCAAGCACATCCTGCAGTTTCCTGCAATAGACAGTTTATCATGGTAACAATACCTTGGGATCTCTACTCCAGCTTGAGCACATGCCTAGATGAATGGAATCAAATATTTAAAAAAAAAAATATCATGGAAATCAAACAACAAATTCTTTGTTAATAGATGGCATAATTGGTATTGCTGGGCCATGTACAGACATTGAGGATTATATAATATTACAATTATTTCAAAGAGAATTTGTTTCTCAGCACTGCAAATAAATTTTTTTGCCCCTTGTTGGTTATGATGACGAGAAGAAATTGAATTCCAACATTCAAGCACCAAATCCTGCCAATTAGTAGAACCATATAATATATATTTTATTCCATTACATATTATTAGTGTACTGTATATCAGCTATTTACCTGAAGAACTGTCACTCTAGGATCAACCAGTACTCTCTTATCATTCACAAAAACCTCAATCTTTTCTGGAGCTGGTACAGCTGCAGTAGATTGTTTAGCTATGAATATGATTATAATAACACTTGTCAGTGGGAAACATTTTAGTCTGCATGCATCCAGGCATTATGGTTTGGTTAAGCTAGTGTTATCTAAAGGTATGTATGGTTGTGTGCAGGCTAGAAACCTTCTATAACCTTAAAGCAGAAAATACATGCTGTGATTTGCCTATGTGCATTAGGGTGCTTATAACTGGGAATCTATAGTATGCAGCACAAAAAGTATTTATGTATCTGCATCTTAGTCTATTTACACATTGGGCACAAATAACACTATCGGAAAAGCTGGAGATATTTTTTTTGCATGTATGAAGCATGTGGATTATATGTGCTGTATATGGACTTTCATCAGTTGTCCGAAGAGGGAAAATTTCAAATTTAAAATGTCAAACTTCCCTGGGGTCCCCCCCCCCACTTGGGCTTAACATTGATAGGTGCATAAAACTAAAATCTACGTTATTACTAGTAGGAGGAATTGCTCACAAAGCTCAAATGTATAATATAGAAAAAATATAGCTTTGTTTGCAAAGTTTATACTATGTTTTAAATGTGTACATCACTGCAAGTACGCTTAGTACAAGTAAAGAAACCCAAGGAAAAATTCACACAAATCCAATGTACATTCTTGAGTTTTCTTACCTGCAAAATGGATGGATGGCAGAACATTTCTTGTATGTTTGAGGACAGTTCCTCTTGGCAATGCAAGCTTAAACATCTTTCCTTGATATAATGAAAGAAATAGGAAAAAAATATGTGAATCACGAGGCAACTACAGGCATGAGCTAAAAAAACAAAACAACTGCATCTTTGTACATGTTCCGAATAACATAAAATACAAAGGCAGAATCTTATATTTCAGCAGATATATGAATAGTATAGATATCCAATTAGGAGACTTTTATATCAATAACTTACTTTAGAGCTTAGAGCTCTTATTTTGAGCTCGAACTCCAAACCAAATAGCAAAATGTTCACAATCCAGCCAAGATGGCGGAGTTTTGCTTCATCCGGGACATTCAGTTATGTAACATGTGTCAGCGGCATATCCTCTAAATAAGTCCTATACTTCATGTGTGAATTATTCAAAGCAGCTTATGASCACAGTTTACGAGAATTATCTAAAAATACACGGTAATGAAGTATTTACCTCACAGCATCCATTTTGATTTTATTCCATCGTGACTGCCTGCTTTGGCAGTTATTTTAGCAACAAAAGCACTTTATTTCTGCTTGTTTTGAGGTAAATTCAAAGTTTTTGATTTTTGCGATGGATGAATTAGATTTCTGATGTTTAATTTTTAATTTTTATTAGTTAGGAAAGAAAATATCGACAACTCTTCAAACAGCATGGCTGGCCTTTGTAAGCATCTGGTGAACACCATGGCCTCCAGGTTGAACAGTTCATATTGGTTTACAATAAGAGGTCTTGCAGCCGCTGTATCAAACTCTCAAGTCAGTGCTTTCTCCACTTCATCACCTTTGGTGGGCAGAACGCATTACTCATTTATGAAGATCCCTCGTAGTATTCCTAACATGCCAGTACCTAGATATCTAAAAGATGGCACAATGAGACGACACAAAGGCAGGTCTGGGAGAAACCATTCAGGCAAGATATCAATACGCCATCGTGGTGGGGGGCACAGTCAGACATATAGGATTATAGACTTTGTACGTGCTCCTTTTATGAAGGGGGCCGAGAATCCACCTCTCATTAAGGAAAAAGTTTTACAAGTGGGGTATGACCCATGCAGATCTGCTAGGATCGCCTTGGTAGCTGGCAATGGAAGTAATAGGCAAAAATTACTGATTGCTCCTGATACTGTTCAAGTAGGGGATATTGTTACGTCTCACAGAGGTAAACCAGAATCCTTAGCTCTTCTTAAACCCGGCGATGCCTACCCTTTGAAATATTTACCCATTGGAACTGTGGTCCATAATATTGAGTTAAAACCAGGTAAAGGTGCACAGCTTGCAAGGGCTGCTGGGACATCAGCACAGCTTATTCGTAAATCCAAAGATACTGCAGTAGTAAGACTACCATCCAAGGAAGAAAAGGTTATCAGTGATCTGTGTATGGCTTCTGTTGGAAGGGTCTCTAATATTGATCGAAAAAACCGGGTGATAGGAAAGGCTGGAAGGAATAGATGGCTTAACAGGAGACCCAAGGGACAGACTGGTATTGATAGAACACACTGGAAGAAGAAGAGAGTCTAGGATATTGTCATTTCATATCAATCACATGTCAAAGTTAGATTTTTAACATGGATTTTGTGTGCAGTGACCAGAGAGAGTTTTTTTGGGCATCTGTTAAACTTCTGAAAATAAATTTAGTAAATTAACAGAATGAGAGCAAGATATATCTTTGTTGTGCAGGTACTTCAACCACAAAGCTGCTTTGCCACCATTGATTGGGGATTGGTTGGGCTGAATGTATGATTCAGTTGGGGGTAGTTAGCTAGTTGTGCATTTTTTTGATACACCCTTGGGATAATAAGAAGGTACACATCACTTTACTAAGAGGCAGGATTGTGCTACTAAGAACCAAATTTAGTTTATTGCATTTTGTGTACAACCCCATTTTTGCACATCAGGGTCACTGTCATAATTTGGATGCAATGACTCTTAATTAGTTGATAGCCAAGGCTGGAAAGTGTTTTCTACTTTCACATACRCTCACAATAATAACCTGGAAAAACTTCAGTAAACCAGGAAAGATCATAAACCAAAGATTACTATGAATGTGAAAATATAAAATGTTGCTATGACAACATCAAAATCCTTCTTTTGCCTTTCAAGAAAAATTAAGTAATTAAATGGTACTTTTTATAACAAGCAGCATATTTAAACCTTGAAGTTCATGGGCATATATTGTTTGGGCACATCCTCTCCATGCATGAATTTAGTGTGCATGCTCTCATCATGATGACGTCATTCCAATGTTTTGATGAAAATATCATGAAGACTTATTTTTTCAAATCTCTCATACCTCTAAAATGAGCTTGGAAGCCCACTTTTTGTTATCGGTTTTTGAAAGTACTTTATGATACCCAACTTACTGCACTTTTTGATATTCTGCAAAGTTGGTTGCTGTGAAACTGCTGTCAATCAAAAATAATCAGTTGGTACTTTTTATATTCTTGACAAGCTGCAGTGAAAAATCAATTTCACAACAAGCCGTTAAAATGTTGGCATTTGCAGAATATTGAAAACCGCAATAAGAGGAAAAATTTAAAAATTATGTCAATGGAATTAAATTGAAATTGCATATTTTTTGCATAATAATAATAGAATTCCACGTAGTCATGAAGGCTCCAAGTCCATACTTATAGCACTATAACATTTTAAATTTCTCATTTTTAACACGAATAATTTTAAATGCTAAATGATTATTTGGTTTATTTTCTAGGAATTTGTGCAAAATGGGGACAATTTATGTTTTTCAGTAAAATATGGCTTATATTTGACAGTTTTCCATGTTGATGCTGTTCCAACACTTTTACCATATAAACAGTGAACTTCCACACATTCTGATGGCTAAACGAAGTTGATGACCCCCATTTTGTATTTGCTTATTTTACTTCATAACGAGCTGCAAGCCCAATTTTATTGCAAACACCAGGATCCCTATATTACCATGGTAATAACCACAGAATGACAAGCGAGTTAATTTGATCAATGCCTTTCAAAGCATTTCAATATSAAGCGGTCTTTCCAGTTAAGCGCCCTGCTGGCCATAAAACAAAAGCTTCACACTTCTCCCACTCTTAATCCCCCAGAAATATTCTAAACATGAAGATCTGAATGCGTCCAAACGCAATAAAATTGGGCTTGCAGCTTGTTATGTAGTAAATGGTGTTGTGCCTCGTAGTGGACAATTGTTCTTTTGTGTAGCACCTGCCTTGTGGCAAATTATCTAAGATAGTATGATGTACTGACGATGGGACCTTTTACCCATGAAGGTCCTTTATCTTCCATTTGACTACCTTGCGTTCCAGATGCTCTCTTGTTCCAGTTCTTCTTGATTGTACAGTGATCTGTGACCTGAAGAGCACAGGGGGTGTGGATTCAGAAAGGGGGAGGGACCAAATTAAAAAATCTGCCATTTCGTCTGGGCTCCCAAAATGCGGAAACCCCTCCCCCCCCCCCCCCCAAAAAAAGAGGAAGAACCTGCATTACGTTTTAATTTTTAAAAAAATCCATATGAATTTTAAAAAGCTGCCATTTCATTACCATAAAGGGGGGAGCAGGGTCTCCTTGGCCCTCATGCCTCATGCTCCTGGAGCACTGCAGCAAGGGAGCCTCTGGAACCAAGGGTACCATTGGACAAAAAATGAAAAAAATATGTAAAAATTAAAAAGTGCTGTTCTACTTATTTACTTTTGCACTATTTATTAGTGGTGTAGCAGTGGGTAGTTTTGTAGCATCAAATAATTTAATGTCGTAAAATCAAATGATCTTGGAATTAAAATATGGAAAGTGAAAATGAAAGGAAAATAGGATCATTTGAGCCCACGCTACAAGCGATCAGAAATCCCCCCAGCTGAGTCTGCGTATGGGTGTCACATTTCGCGGTCCATTCGAAAAATGTGCATGGCTGACTGAAGTTCCACCAAAAATCCATTTGATTTCTCTCTCGTAGTCTTCAAAAACAATTCAGTGAGCCCTTAATGATGTAGAATATCTGCAGAAAACTACATAGGGTTCTTTTTTTGTTTAACTGGAACAGCCTCGTATTTATAAATACCTGAAGTTTGAAGTCAAGTTCAAGTTCTTCAGTACGTTTAGATGCGGCGATGTTTTCAATCGACGAAGAGGAGTTGGATATTGATCTCGACGATGAGGTACGTATACTGTATGTTATTCTGACTTTAATATAGGTTAGATCTTCACCAATAACATTTCTAGCCCATATAACATGACATTTCAGTGAGTATAGTGTGTCATGCACCTTCGCCGTCAGACTGGTAAGAATTTAAATTCAACGGTTGTGTTTACTTTCAACTGTAGGATAGTCAGCAGTAATTAAAAGACGATTCTCTGTTCCTGTTATTACGTGTTGATAACACCATATACCAGATTCCTCTTCGAATTATTGTTTTATTTAAATATTTTAACTCTTTTGCAAGATAATTGAAGCTGGTAAATAGATTATAAAGTTCATGGGCTATTAACGCCAAAGCACCAAAGCATGGCACAGTACTGGAGTTAGATGGGTTACATGTAAGCATGAAGAACACTATACTTAGGTATTTACTTTCAAACTTTTGAATTCATYATTATTTTTGAACAGGATTTCCTTTTGGCAGCCTGTGGAGTTGTTCCATCTTGTGAATTCAAGCCTGATGACACAGATGGTGTGACTTCTAAATCAACAAAGGACAGCAACTTTCAAACAACAAATACAGGATTCAATAGAAAACCATTTAGTTCCCTTGAAAATTCCACTTCTTTATCTACAGAAAAAAGAACACAATTTCAATCTCCAAGCGACTTTTTAAACCCATCAAAGCCTGCTGGATCAGCGAACATAAATATTTCTCACAAATGTATTAATAATAACAGTAATTTCAACAAAATGTGTAACTTAAAGGCAAATCAGGCCACAAGAACAGGTCCTCAGGAACAGCCTCCTTCTAAAAGATTTGCATCTAATTCTAATAATCTATCTTTCACTCAAAATAATGCTATAAATAATTCTCAAAACCAAAGGACTCCAAATAACTGCAACAATCTTTGGAAAATGAACTCTGGAGAGCAAAGAGATGCCAGGTCTTCACCAAACCAGCTATCAAAGTATATGAACAGTCCACAAGGAAGCAACTTGCAAGCCTTGAATGGAAATAATATGCAAAGTTATTCCCCAAATGTGTCTTCTGGTGGAAAGACAAGTCTCAATGGAGTAAGTCAGACTTCAAGTTTAAACTTCAACACACCTGATACTAGTTATAGCAGAGAGAGTAAGAACATGACTCAGAGAGACAGACAACAAATGAACAAAACTGGTAATGCTACTGGTTTTTGTATTAATATTACACCATCTGGTAAGAAAACCTCAAGAAAGTTCCCTGGACCTGCAGGAATACTTCCAAAACTTGTAAGTGCTGAAGAAATAGAAAATGCACCCATGTGCCTTGTGCAGTTACAGTGTATAAAGCATGGAGGGATGGACAGAAAGTGAGAAGTGTTGGGAGATGCATGACATGTATATAGCTAAGTGCTTCTTGATCGACTCATTCACACAAGTGCTCTGCTAGTTGACCACTTTGATTCTATCTGTCACATGATATAAATCATGTTGGATTTTGTTATGGTCACCCCCTTGCCCCCCCTCCCCCCCAAAAAAGGACATTGTTCTTGGATTCCTGTACGATTAATGTAATGACTTTTGAACAAATTATTTACTTGGTTTGCTTTACTTGTAAGAAAAGCTTCATTAAATTAGAAATTTGATATTTTGATTGTATTTAGAAAGCTTACTCAACAAATCAAGTTAATAATTTTTTTAAAAGTCATTACATTGATTGTACTGGAATCTGAGAACAAAATTTGTTTAACTTAATTTCCGAACTTTCTGGTGATCATAACACAATTCAATAAAATTTATACCAGATGATGGCTTAATGCACTGAAGTTGTGAATTTACAAGTGCTTTGTAACTGCATACATGGCGGTCAGAACGAGCAAGTTTTTTTTTCTTTTGCAAATCATTAGAGTAGCCATTATTTTGAACACAAATAATGAAATAGAAAATGTGCATGCATGCTGTGTGTTCTCCTAATGCATGCACCCGCAACCAACGAGAACGCAAAATTTATGAGTTATTTTATAATGAATTCTATCACACATTTTATAATAAATTAAACCAGTAACTGTGATTACAATGTCACATTGTGTCCTTTACATCATCAGGAAATGATATTAACTTTAAGTAATAAGTTTTGTTTTGTTCATTTTTTAAATAACAAACGTTACTTAATGCAGGTTTTAAACTTTTCGGTTCTTTAATTTCTGGTCTGTGGTCATACTTGCAAAACTTAGCTAGTTACATTTTTCTTACTCATTAATACAAATTTTCACTCACATTTGCAAGGTTGCGAGTGTTAATTTTGTGCCCTTGTCATGTTAAAATATTTTTAATATTTTAGACCAATGAGCAAAGTTTAGAAGAGGTATCTATAAAGTTGTCACCTTTACCATCAACATCTCGACAGTCGCCTGTCAATCAACATCCTGTGGTAAGTAATTCTATTATACTTCTACAATCTGCATGTATGATGTATATTCATACTAAATTATTAGTCTATTAATAGGTGGTTTCTTGAGTGCTTTATTTTATGCGTTGACTTCCTTCTTATTGTTTTTTTAAACTTATTATTAAATACATGTAGTACAAAAACTATCTTTTCTCTAAAGAGTTTACAGTCAACATCAGAAGATGAAGAGTTTACCAGAGATCCTTGGGTTGGCATGTTCAATGAATATCAGGAAAGTAAGTTGTACATATATAAAGCAGCAAAAAGAATCATGTTAGTAATGGGTTCACAGAGAGAGTCTGTATTAATATTTGAGATACTCACACACTAAAATTGGCTTTGATAATTCATGAAAACTGCTGGAAAAGCAGTATCTGTGCTGTGATATAAACACTGCAATTGAAAAGCAATGCTTGACTTAATATCTTGTGCTTCTCTCATGCTCTACAGCTTTCAGCATGTTTAAATCACACACACAACACACACACACACACACACACACACACATTTACAGATATAAAGGTATTCTGTCTCAAGTGATTTTTTGTTGTTGATTAGATGTACCAGCAACAATGAGATATTCCATCATCCAAGTAATGTCAGAGGTATGACATACAGTGCTTGAGTCTATTTGCTTAAAAAATAATAATTTGATAGGGTAACTAGAATTACACAGAGTAATTATCATCCAGGGTCCCATTCTAAATTAAATTAAAATTCAGCAGTTGATTTTTGCGGACGGAGGAAAAACCAAGAACCTGGAGAAAAACCCTCAAAGAACAGGAGAGAACCAACAAACTCTACTCACATACGACACGAAGCCTGGCAGGACTCGACCCGTGTCACATTGGTGAGGGGTGAATGCCCTCACCGCTACACCACTCGTTTTCCCCCATGCTTAACAGGCTGCTTTTTTTAAATAGACTGCTTCAAAGGCCATGACTAAAACATTTATTTTTACTGAGGTGTTTTAGATTTTGGTTAATAACCTCTGTTAATATTACACTGTAAATGCATTACTACAAATTGTTCAGGCCTTTATATTTTATATTTTACCATTAGTCATAATGTATTTCTTGACTATTACTTTAGACTAAAGTTTCATCAGTGAGTAAACGTTTTTTTATGTTTTCGATTGATGCAGGCAGCATGTCAGCGCTTAAGATATGGCAAGGTTCCATCATTGTGCGTGCTGGTCAAGACATTCTCATCTTCAGAAACTGATTCTAGTATCTTTCTAAAGGATCCAACAGGTTATACATATTGCTATACATAATACTAGGCCTGGTTGTACAAAGGGTGGATAGAACCATCAGACAAATAAATCTTATCCAGTGGATAAATTTATTGCAATGAATAACAGCATGGACTTATCCACTGGATAAGGATTTATTCATCTGATAGCACTATCCACCCTTTGTATAACTGGGCTCTATACTTTATTTGCAAAACTAAGTAGGGTATCTGACTAATTGTTTTAGAGTGTACATGTAAGTAAGTACAAGGTGAGGAATACCAACCTGAAGTAATGTCATGATTGCACCTATCAGAGCTAATATTAGCTCAGATTACATTCTAGAGATCTGGCATTTTGACCTACTTCAAGACCTGACACTTTGAGGGCCTTGAATTAATTTTCACTGATTAATGGACTAACCTTTTCTTGTTGAACTTCAGGCGAAATCCATGGGACTTTACATAAGAAGGTATTAGAAGAATATCAAACTGAACTGGGACCTGGTGCTGGTCTTATTTTGAAACAGGTATGTGGTCTAATTATATTCATGATATATAATTATTAGAAGCTGTAATAATATTACTTGTACATGTATAATAGACTGTACAGTCACTTTAAATTGCTAACTACATGATTGTATACAGAATGGTGCACTTATCATATTCATATGAAAATTAAAACAATTCCCTAAAATTGTTTATTTTGATCTTAGGTGTCAGTATTCAGCCCATCACCAAGGAAACACTATCTGAACATAACGCCAGGGAATATAATAGAAATCTACCCTCCAGACCCAAGCCATATCAATAGTAGTCAACTTTTGGTAAGACATCAGAATATATTCAGGCTGTGATTCCTGCTTTATGGGTCAATCTATTCCTTCAATATGATTCATTCATCAGACATTCTTACTATGTATTTTTCCAGGCCTCACAAGGCACTCAATCTGTAAGAAATAATAAGCAAAGGTACAGTATTCTATTTAATACAATTGATCTGAAGTCAGGTTTTTTTCACAAACACCAATGACTGTTTTACATTAGTTAATACTTATTGTTTTGTGGACACTTACTATGGGTGACAGAGACCCTGTCACACTGTTGGCTCAGTTGTGTGTAATAATCTAGGTTATGTATACACACAACCAAGAAGCACTAAGGTAAGAGAGCCTCTGGAACCCCAAGTACAACTGTAGTAGTATTGTTTATGCACAAGGTATATAAGTGATAACAGTGCCATTGGTGTAGAGAGGTGTCTTGACCACAAGGGGGCAATGTACCATTTTCCCACCAAATGAATACACATGTACAGGTTTCAGGTTCGAGTTTCCTGTCATATCCACTGGAATCCCACAGGAATCCCACAGGAATTAATGAAATTCCAAGATAAGAGGTGCCGAATACAGTAACTTGTAATCATACTCAAAGAAAAACTATCAAATCAATGGAAATTAGACTTAGAAATTAGAAGAAGAAGAAAGCATACAATTTTGGTCCAACTTTTTGAGGGGGTCCTCCCTTGCTACACCACTGGACAGTGCCCTTGAGCAAGGGTAAATTTACAAAGAATGGACTTTTCATGTATCAACACACATTATAGATAATAATAAAAATGACAAAAAAGTACATTTTGTAATTCTATTTTTTTTTAATCAGAACTGTCATAGAAGAGCCAGAGATAATTCTTGAACCTTTGACCAACACCTCAGATAAACAGCAAAGAAAAGGTAAAGTATAATAACACTGTTTACTTCCCCTCATCACTCATGCTCTCATACTCTAATGCAGTAGTGATTATTGTGAGGGATATTTAGAAAACTGTGGTATAAATGCTATCTTTGCTCCAGGAAATTTCCTCCAGAAATCAGTTTTTGGATTGCTGTTCCCTCTTCATCAGTTGTTTTTAATTCTTGGAGTTTGTTACATCATAGCCACCATGTTGGTTGACTATACAAAGCATTTCTTATAAGCTTCTCTTGTTAGATCAACCAACATGGCATCTGTTGCACTCCAAGAATATAATTATTAGCGATACCTACTGATTATCCATTTCAAAGGTATGTGTGTACTGTTGATAGTGATAGCTTGTGTATTTTCCCCAGAAATCTCACCAGAAAAGCCAGAAAATTTTGATGAACTGCTAGAAGGTTTGGATAATGATGACATCCTGGACGAAGATCTGCTTGCCATGTACTAGATGCTTGCAAATATATCTTCACCACAAACTAGAATTATTTCTTTCATGTCTGCTTTACTGACCCAGTTTTTCAAAGTCTGATTAGTACTAATCCAGGCTTGATTACCAAGGCAAACATCATCACCTATTAAATTTTATGTAATAAACTGCCTTTGAAAAGTTACAGTGTAACTACTATAACCAGGGCCACCTAAAAAGCAAGAACCATTCAAGTTGTAGATTAAAAACACTATATTCAAACTTTGGGTAGTTGAGCCACTCAGAAAGTAGCAGAAAACAAAAGCCTCTTAACATATCTTCTTATTCCTAGGAGAAAATGACAATGGCTTTCTAGTTGTTTACATGCTGCCTACTCTTAAACCTGCTTTATCAAAAGTATGTATGTATATATGTATGTAACATCAGGGTCAAATTAGCATTCTTGTGCAGTCTAGGTTTCTGATTTGCCTGACTATCCAAAGTTGGAATACATTGTTTTCATTCTACATTTTGATTGGTTCTCTATGTCTAACTGGTGTAAGTGGCCCCAGTTACAGTAGTTATGTAACCATAATGTATGAATAGATTAAAAAATAATTAAGGGTGCTGGTTCATAATGGTGAACATAGGTAGTAAAGAATGTATTTGTCCCATTACATTATTATATTATTATTATTGCTAATAGTCATAAATACTATTGGAAACTAATTATCATTAATTCATTTATCATGTTCATCTTTTAATCGTTTTGTTTTGTGATTCTTTATCAGAATAAAAACCATTTAATGCTAAACTGTGTTATATTAGGTTTATTCTATTTGGTTTCCATTCCACATACAATCAATACTCCATCTTACAGTTCCGTTCAGTGACCACGGATAATAGGTCAAGTTTGGAATTTCCAGGCATAGCAAAACTATGCTTTTTATCATCCGCGGCAACCCCAACCGTGACTTGGAACTATTATTCGTGGTCACTGAACCAAACTGTAAAAAGGAGTATTGCAAAATCATCATTGGGTTTAAAACATAGAAGCTGGGACCTAAAGGTATTCTGGGAAATGATAAATTATCCTTCGATGCGTTCATTTGAGATTCCACGAGATGTATTACAAGATACCAAAACCGTCTGAAACATTGGGCGAAAACCGTAGTCCAAAAACTGCCAAATCCGTGTACTCCAGACTTCTGGACGAAACCCGAATGCGAATTCAAAAATAAAAATTTCATCAAAACCGCGTCGATCTGGAAACCCCCGTGATCTGTGAGTTAGCCATGCCCTGGCGGCACAGAGGTGATTACTGGGTATCGACAAAATTTGAAAGTTGTTTTGTTGACATTCAACTTTGGGGCTGATGCACTGCTTGGACGCTGAACCAATATATGAAATCCATGGTGCCTAGGGTCATCAATCAAATAGAAATGCCCAGCAACATGTAAGACCCAGAGGTCCTGGTTTATGTATAACCTTTATTTCAACAAAGAGTTTCATCATACCATGGATCATAAAAAGGCCCTTTTCGTGATCTGTTTTTTTTTTCATAATTGGATATCCATAAAACGCCGATCGTTTTTCGGGTGAGTGTGAAACGAGATGAGTCTGAATTTCAGCACGTACACGGTAAGCAGTATGCATGCAGTAACATTTAATCCAGGCCCCCACACATCTAACGACCTCGACAAATAACAAAAACACTTTCACTTGCTAGCGCTGCCCCAAGTCGACCTCTCTTAATCATATGGTACTCGCCGTGTTCATTGACAACCCTCCCTCCGGCGTCATTTTTCAGTCACCCATATGAAATCTGCTTTTAGTTTTCGGTTGATTAGGATTATGTCAGTGTTCTTATTTCAAGAAAGGTACGAAACAAGTTCTATATTCTGATTGGCTGACAATAGAGCGCCAATTACTATCATGCGCGCACTGCAGCTGGCTATGATTTTGATTGGAAAGTCTAATGTCCTAAACAAGTAATCAGATGAAGCACACTTGTAACCGTTTTCAAATACTAAATCACAGGGAGCCCAATGGTGAAAATAAAATCGGAAAAATTAAATAATTAATATTTTTTTTAAATTCGAGATCAAGATAATGTCCTCCGTAATGCGAAAGAGTAAAAAAAATCAATAAAAAATGCACTAGAAAATTTTTTTTTCGCGCGCGCCTTTGTTTTCCTATATAATTTCCCTATGGTATCTGATGTCGATCTTATGTATGTATAATCTGACGCCAAAAGATCGTTAAGTAAAAGAAGCATCGATTTTTGCTTACCACACTTCATGATGATGCAGTTTTCTCCTGAAAAAGACCGGAAATCTCCAAAATTTCAAGTTAAATGAAAGAAATCCATTGTAATTTTCACTAAACTTGATATCGTGTAGAATTATCTGTAGTTATCTTTCATTTTTCAAAGTAAAACCAACCAAAAAAGCAAAAAAATGTCGAGCATAGAGAACTAAACTAGCCCTCTGGGGTGGCTGGAGGTGGGTCGTGTACACGTTACAAAACTCCTGTGCGGGAGAGTAGTAAGGTCGAAATTCGTTCTCGCCCGAGTCCTACGCAAGTAGTAACGTAACTTAACATGCCAGAAAATTTTCTGCAAGCGAAAAATTTTCTGCACGAAAATTTCACTCATAGAAATCTTGTAGGAAGAGCCAAAAGAGTTTTAAATAAATGAATCCCCCATCTTAGGGATCATTTTGATCAATTTTTTTGTGGAATTCGAGGTATAAAAGACGATGAAATCGTGGTTTAAAGAGAGTTGTTTGTTCAAATATGGCGACTGAAGTTTCCTCCCTTGTCAGAGTATATATACATAAGATCAACATCAGATACCATAAGGAAATATATAGGAAAACAAAGGCGCGCCCGAAAAAAAAAAAGTTTTTAGTGCATTTTTTCATTGATTTTTTTTTTTACTCTTTCCGTTTTGCATTACGGAGGACATTATCTTAATCTCGAATTTTGAAAAAATATTAATTATTTGATTTTTCCGATTTTATTTTCACCATTCACTTTAATCTAAATTGGGCTCCCTGTGACTAAATGTAGAATTTTATGGACAGTTTGTCGCCAAGAAATCGGTACTATGTATAAAAGATTTCTGAAAACAAAATAAATCCGAGATGCAGTTGGGCAATTGGCTGATTGAACTGCCCTTCGAGGAGAAGGGGTTAGCACGTGCCACCTACATCTGGTGACCCGCATCTCCTGGCCCCAAACGCATCTGGTGGCCCCTTGACCATAACTCAGGAACGAAGCATGCAATTCTTCGTTTACACGTTACGTCATCGCCGCCATGTTGGTACCATTTAACAAAAGATTTCTCATTAACATCCATTGTTAACGGTACCACAATTGCCGCCATGTTTTTGTCTTTTAACTCTCTTGGGAATGCTTGCAATCCATCAATATGGTAACGACACTTGGTAGTATTGGTGAGACTTSTGTTGTCAATCATCTGATGACGTAACATGGCGTGTCGTCATATATCACGTGACTTACAAACCCAACATTTTCGCCGATTTTTGCGAATACTCATTACAATGAATGCTATGGTAACGAAACTTGATACGGTGGGTGAGACTTGTGATGTGAGTGATCTGACCACGTGATATGACGTGACTTCACATTTCACGTAGGTTGACTGATTTTGAAGAAGAAACCAAAAAGCAAATTTGTTGTGGTAAAGAAAGACAAGCTATTTTAAAGCGACAGTGAAAGTAAGCTCAAGTCGATCGGTCAATACAGGTCACATCAGTTTGTGTCGATTAGCATAAAACGACAAGCTGTCATTAAACATGTACTGTATTTATTATACTTAATTATACAGCTTCTCATCAATCCCAAATAGGTAACTGCATGATCCAATTATTTTCTTTATTACATCCATTTTGAAATCACAAGCAAATCCTGCAATCTGATTGGTTCCCTGCAGCAGTGATTTCAGCATAAATCGCACGATTTTGAGCTCTAAATTGCACGATTTTGCACATCAACTGATATGAACCAATCACAAGAGAGACATGTCATTTTCTAGCCAATTATATCAAGGAATCCATCTGAGTGTTGGGCTCAACGCTTCTTGCGGAAAAAAAACAGCCACGGCTCAAAAAAATTTTCTAAAGAACGATTTTACCGTCAAAAGTCGTAAAAAAAAAACTGAAAAAGCCATAAAAAGGACTTAAAAAGACCAACTGATCACTTAAAATTGTCAAAAGCATCTTTGTAAAGTAACTGCTTAAGTAAGTTGAAGATATTACAGCGAAAAGCAG